AGAAAATTAAAGCATGGTAACAAGAAACATCGAATAAATTACGAATTTATCTTAATAACTTATCTATCGATACTTTCACTATTAATATATGTTTCTTAAATATAAACAACGGTTTTTCCTAATGAGGATTAGATTTCTCTTTTAACTTCATTTCCTGTTTTTCTTTTTCCTTGATTAAATTAACCTTTCGACTGATATTGTTTTTTTGTTCTTTTTCTTTTTATTGTTTTTTTTTTCTGTTTTTGTTTTATTTTATTTTCCTTCATTGTTTTTTTTTTTTGTGTCTCTTAGGCCAAAATATCGTTATCCGTATTACGACGAGAACGGAAGAGGTAAACTCTTGTACGGCTACGGAGGTCCCGATTTGTACGAATATAAAACGTTCTCTATTCTCGAAGGCATACATTAATTCTAATAAGATAATTCTATGTATATGTTATTTTTTGTTTTTGCTAAACAATTGTTTTTCTATATGTTAATAATGTATTTTAATGCGTGTTGTACAAGTAAAAATTTATAATAATCGCGTTAATTACGTTGTTTCTCTATCTTTAGTAAATTCATTTCTGATTTAAAGCATTATTTATTTATTATTATTATTATTATTATTATTATTAAGCATATAATAACAACAGAGAATATTTTATACGAATTATTGATTGACTATCATTTAAATAGAGGTATATTTGTACACGATTAAGAGCTTGCAACAACGAGAAAGAAAAACTAATATTATTCTTTCTCTTTCTTTTTTTTTTATTTATTTTCTATATAATATTATATTGTTTTTTTCTTGGCATAAAACAATGAACGTTTATAAAGATTGAATGTGTATTTTGTTATATATCTGATTAATTAATAATCATTTGTATTATTTATAATGTAATAATAGTCTCGTTGTTACAAGAAATGTTTCATTGTTCGTTTATGGAATCAAGGAACATTACCAGATCATTTATTTTCCATCCTATATTTTAATCTATCAATTCTTAAAATATAATAATAATAAATGGTATAAATTTGTAAATGTGTCTGCGTGTGTATGTGTGTTTGTATATATTTATTTTGACTATCTTTCGTAGAACGGCCAATTAATTTTGCATTAGATAGTAAACAACGCTATTATTTTTCTTATGATTCATTTTAATTAAGATATATATTTCCTATTACGCGATTAATGTCCCTTTTCTTATTTTATTTCTTGTTTTTTCAATTTTTTTTCCTGACGAAATATCGTAAATCGTTGTTTAAAGAATATACGACGACAGTGACGACATATCATTTTATTTATTAAATCCCATGGGGGGATAAGGGGGTGGGTTGAGGGGGGCTTGGTTCTCATAGAAAAAAGAGTTACGTGCGTATAATAATTATAGACGATATTTCAAAAGACAAATGGGTATAATATTTGAAAAGGTGCATGGAATGTGCAAAGATTATTAAATATATCTAACACACGTACAATCATAATTATTAAAGATAAGTAGTGTGACCTAATTATTATTATTATTATTATTATTATTATTATTTTTTTTCTTCTTTCTCTTTTCATCTTTTTCTCTCTTTCGTTTTTTTTTTCTTTACCCTTTCCTTATCCTTTGTTTTTTTGTTTCCTTTTTTTTTACGATCGCCGTGTTTCATAAGCGCAAAAAATTCTCGTCTCATCTACAATGCAAATATAAGTAGAGAGAAAAACGATGAAATATGTATAATCGGATAAAATGATTGTTTTTTTTCTTCTTCTTCTTCTTCATTTGTTTTTTATGTTTGTTTCCTTATAAAGGGTAAAAATACGGTTACAAATTATATGGGGTGGAGGGTATGGGGAAAAAAGAAAAGGGTAGGAGAGGGGAAGAGAAAAATAATATAAAAAGGATAAAAAAAAGAACAGGATAGAATAATATCTTTAACCGTTTGAAAATAATGTGTTTGCGCGCGCGCGCATATTTAAATTGCACAGATATATTCCGCAAGGACAATAATATCGAGAATGTAAATAGGAAAGAAAAACAAATAGAAAAGTAGGGATGTTACTTAATCGAAGGACCAATTGCTCTAGTCGATAATTCTCATTCATGTTAATTATATTCACTCCACGTGATCTTTGTCCGCCTTATCTTCGGCAGACTGCAACTGTCATACAAAGTCCATCTCTGATTTACTGTAGTATTGTCCACCAGTACGTCGCTTTTGTAGTAGCCTTTCCAGAAACTTTTTCATTTCACTAATCACAAACACACTCGATGTCAATGCAACTAAGAATAAGATATCTGAAATTTCAGAAGATAATATTACAATCTATTAGATTTATCGCGAATTTATATGATCATAGGTTGTATTCAATCCAACGATACATTTACCAAGCTTCAATGTACGATCTTAAAAACGCTATTATAAATTTAAATTTATCTCTAAGTATAAAAAAATAAATAATTAGGAAATATAGCATCAATAATTGATACACGTGTTGACCAAAAAAGAAGAGGAAATGGCTGAGTATCGGTGATTTATATTTGCATATATTAACAACATTACTTACCGTTTGCTGTTAATGCTTCAGTTTGAAATACTCTTTGCAATGGAGGAAAATAAATGACTAACATTTGTCCTATTACCGATAATGTTACAGCTACCAAAAACATTTTGTTACTCCATAATCCAATTGTAAAAATGGATTTTTTCTGTAAAATATAAATGAATATTATAATGAAACAATTAAAAAAAAGAAAAGAAAAAAGTCGTGTTCATCAATAATGACAAATATTCACCTGCGATCTACAACTTAATGCATTGAACATATCGAAGAAAACGAAACAAGTGAAGGTCATTGTCGTGTCTCGTGCCGTATGACCATCCGACGTCATCTAATAAATTCATGAAAAATACAAACATAATATAACAAATATAAATAATTATAATAGAAGTAACGTTTCTTACCTCTCTCTTGTAAACCCACGTTGTACCGGCAATTATAATAAAAGCAGATAATAATACATTTATTATGAGATGTTTTGTGATCATAGGTTCTTTAATATTTCGTGGCTTTTGTTTTAAAACATCTTTGTCGACAGGTTCAACTCCCAAACTGTAAAAATTAAAATTAAATAAATATATATATATTTGTAATAAATCAATTATATATTAAAATTAGAAAATTAAATTAATATTCCAAGATTTTTCAAACCTTTGAGCAGGTGGACCGTCCATAATAATATTAATCCAAAGTATTTGCATTGCATTTAATGGATTTGGTACGCTCATCAATGTGGCAAGAGCAATTAAAGATAATGCTGCTATACTTGTGCTCAATTGGAATCTTACGAAGTTACGAATGTTGTGGAAAATACCTTTACCTTCTTCAATCGCAGCACTAAAAGTACAAAATTAAAATGATCGTATTGTTAATCCTTTGGTTACTGAGATAACTCATCTAAGGGTCGTAGTGTACAAACGAATTTATTATGTTCTTACATAATCGTTCCAAAATCATCATCGACCAATATCATGTCAGCTGCTTCTTTGCAAACGTCAGTGCCATTTTTTCCCATAGCTATACCAATGTCAGCCTTCTTCAAAGCTACCCCATCGTTTACACCATCTCCTGTCATACCCACAATATTGCCTTCCCGTTGTAAAGCTTTTACGATACACAATTTATGTTTAGGTGTAACTCGATAAAAGACACTAACGTTTTCTATTAATTGTTCTAATTGCAGTTCAGACATCGAATCAATCTCGTCACCGGACATCAAACGTGAATGAAGTGTATCCAATCCAATCATATTCGCTGTAATAATAATATCATTGAAAGTTAAAAAATGTTAGTTAAAAAATGTGATAAAAGATAAAAATAATGTTTACTTATAAACAAAAACGTACCAATAGCAACAGCAGTTTCTTTAGCGTCACCGGTAACCATTTTAACTTTGACACCACTGTTCATCAGGGTTGCAATTGATTCGCGAACATGTGGCCTTGGTGGATCACATATACCAACAAGACCAACGTATACTAAATCTTGTAACGAAGTACCACGTGCAAGACCAATTACTAAAAACAAACGTATGACAGTATATGAGCAATAGTAAGAATAAAATCTCGATATCCTTTATCTTCATACTTATTAAACAGCACCTCTCAGCCCTTGTTGACCAATATCGTAAGCCTCCGTTAAAAATTCTTGATCTTTCTTTTGATTCAATGGATACTCTTGACCGTTCGCATAATATTTCGTGCATTGCGGCAAAATCTTTTCCATGGCTCCTTTTACAAAATATATTTCTTGTTTATTCTAAAAAAGGAAACAAAAAAAAAGAAATTGAAGTTCCAGGTGAAAAATTATAAATCGTTATCGAAGATCGTTGCTTACTTCGTCATATTTGGGTGCACATTTAACAGCCATCATCTTTTGTTCAGAAGAAAACGGATATTCTTGTAGGCGTAAATATTTTTCAGCGCAACCGTACATTCCAAATTTCATTGACAACGCTAATAAAGCACCTTCGGTTGGCTGGCCAAGTAAAGTGTCGTTTTGTATTACAGCATTATTACACGTGCTTCCTACTTCTAACATGTGAGTAATCGCAGCACGTGCGAGATCAATGTTGTCGCATTTTCTTATTCGTACTTCACCTTTATTATTGTAACCAGCTCCAGTAATATCAGCTATGTATCCTTCAGATGTTACGAGAATCGTAGCAGTCATCTCATTTTTGGTTATTGTACCAGTTTTATCCGAACATATCACATTAACACATCCTGTACAATGAAATCAAATAAATGGACACACATTAAAGAAATATGTATGATGAGTAATAATATGATTGGACAAAATCATAATTTGAAATTAAACCATCTTACCAAGGGTTTCAACAGTTGGTAATTTTTTAACAATAGCATTTCTCTTTGCCATTCGCATAACACCTAACGCTAGTGTTACGGTAACAACAATAGGTAAACCTTCGGGTATAGCTGCTACTGCTAAACTGACGCTAATTGTAAACATTTCTAAAATTGCCTTTCCTTGGACCCAGCCAAGTAGCATAATGATGCCAATAATACAGAATGAGTAGAATGATAATTGTGTACCCAAAATATCCATACTCCTTTGCAATGGTGTCTTTGGTGCTTCTTCCGCTTGCATCATTGTAAATACTTCACCAAATTCGCTCTTTTCTCCTGTATTTACTACCACACCCTATAAGATATATCATGTTTAATAGATAACTGAATGAAAAATCTAAACAATGATTTAAAATTTTTGAAACACTTCGACTTCTTACTTTGCCATTTCCACAACGCACTAACGTTCCCATAAAAGCAATATTTTTCTTCGAAGTTAATCCATTTGTTTTAAGTAAAGGAGCCGTTGATTTTTGAGCCGGCTCTGTTTCTCCAGTGAAGCTACTTTCGTCGATAGCCAAATCTATAGCTTCAAATATTCTAATATCTGCGGGTACTTTATCACCAATATTTAAATAAACTACATCTCCAGGAACTAAGTTACGAGCAAGAAATGTTTCTACTTGCCCCTCCCGTAAACTAAAATAAGAAAAATAATGAATAAGAATAAGACGTAAGAATAATTCATTATTTTGTGATTTCGCTATTGAAAATTTCAAATTATTTACCAGTGGCAAGTAGGAGGTACTAGTTTATTAAGTTCTTCCAATGATTTTTCAGAACGATACTCTTGTACAAATGCAACAGTTACAACTATTATGATAGCCTAAAAAAAAGAAAAATATAATATGTAAATGAAGAATCTATAGAATTATCATATTTAACATATTTGATATTTACCACTGTAATACTGACGGCATCATCGAATTGTTTCATACAAACACTAACAAATGCGGATGCGAGCAATAAAAGAATCAATGGATTTTTAAACTGGAAAAAAA